TTCGGTTATCACCCACTGTTCTTTCATAGTGTAGGCAAAGGTACCATACCGAACAAGACACAATGTCATAAACCATATGGATCAACTGATCTATTGACCTCTAGGAGTTCTTGGCCTTAGCTTGAGAACTTTGTTTTTAGTTTGAGCAGGATCAACTTCAAAGATAATTCGTGTTAATTGTGGAATAAATGTAGTTTTGGCACTAACACATATTTTGGGACGCTCGGTCAGGCGCTCCACGATGTAAAGGAAAATAATCAGCATGTAGAGATGGCAACGCTGGACATCTCGAAAGCGTACAACTGGGCTTGGACGCCAGATGTCATTAAACAACTAGCAGATTGGGGCTTGAAAGGCCACATCCTACATTTTGTTAAAAATTTCCTAAGCCACCGGACCTTCCAGGTTATAATCGGCAACTACCGATCGAACACGTTCCGCGAAGAGTCGGGTGTGTCCGAAGGCTTCGTCTTTGTGGTCACCTTATTCCTGATTAAAATTAATGGAGTCTTCAGCAACCTGCCAGCGGAGATCTTCATCTTTGTTTACGCGGATGACATTGTACTAATGGCCGTCAAAAGTACAATTAAAGCCCTCCGTACCAAGCCGTCATATATATATTCACCGATGGAGCATCGATGCCGGTTTCGAGCTGTCGGCGGAGAAGATCTCAGGCCGTACCACAACACAAATCTGTTAAGATTCTGGGAGTTCGTATTGACCGCAGTCTCTCATTCGTACCCCATTTCGATGAAGTGAGATCTAAATGTCGGTCGAGGTTAAACTTCATTCGCTCGATCGCCAGACGTCACCCAGACAGCAATCGACACCTCCGGATCCGGATTTACAAAGCCGTCATCGACACACGACTCACATACGGGATTGAACTAACCGGTATGTCCAGAACAACCCTCATCGAGAAACTCACTCCTGTATATCAAAGAGCAATCCGAATCACCTCTTGCTTCTCCCGTCAACCCCGGGTTTAGCAGCAAGCGTCAAAGGAGGTGTCCTTCCCTTGGACCATCTCATCACACTCACCATCTGCCGCCGAGCCGTCGGGTTTCTGAAAAAAAAACTACTGGTTCGAGCGACGGAGTGTAACTTCTACAGGAGGCAAACCAGCTCCTCGCCAGCACAGCCAACCAGGCGCTCTCCTCAGTGTCCACGGTCCACTGGTGTGGAGCCAGGGGTTGGAATCTGTCCAAAATTTCTATCGATTCGACAATTAAGAATAAATTTAAAGCAGGTGCTAACCCCCTCGCCGTGAACCAGCCGCACATGGACCTTATACACCGCCGATATAAAAACCACGCAATCCGCTATTCCGATGGTTCTGTCGCACAAGGTAGAACCGGAATTAAGATATCTGGCCGCGAAATAAGTATATGTCACAGTCTTCCCGACTAGTGCAATATTTTCTCTGCTGAGGAAGCTGCAGCCTACGTCGCCATCACCACCCCATCTAATAAACCCATCGTGCTCTTCACGGATTCAGCCAGCGTTGTAGCCACCATCGACGCCGAGTACCCCACACACCCGTGGATCCAGACCATCATCCAGTCCGCTGGATGACGCACCGATGGGAAGATCTACCTGACCACCGTTCTCAAGTGGTGTTGTTTGGCTGAGGTCAGGACACACTCGAATATCGCACAACATGGCTGGGAATGGTGAATTCCATCGACGTTGCCCAATATGCCAGATCCATCAATCGGTGGAGCACATGATATGCCACTGCCCTCAATACCAAGGAGCCAGAGACCTATACGGTATCTCTTGCAACATAAAAAATGCACTCAGCATGGACCCTAGTCGTTCCGCTGCGCTATTGGCCTTTCTCTGCGAGACAGGCCTGTGCAACCAGATATAACTCCACCCAATAGAGTCATCACCGCCTACAACATACCGCGGATAGAAATAACCACCGCTATCACACCATCAGGAACACCTTCAATAACCACGACCGCTACGAACTAGAACTCTCCCCTGTCAACCACCCTAGGAAACCCCCACCAGCACGAAACAGCATAAAAAGACAGCATTTACTTAAGTTTTCTATTTTGAGAAACTCCTGTCAGGAACCCTCCCTCTCTTTTAAGAAGTGTCCCCTATGGGCACTCCTCAATTTTCAACTTTGTGACTTGGGGAACCCCCTTCAGGGATTCCCGGAGACGAACCAGCGTTCGGCTCACAGCAAAAAAATAATTTTGATATCACATCAAAGTGGATGCACTACAATTATGTCGAAAATTTCATGTAATTTTTATGACCACATAAATAAACAAATGCAGTAAAAGCAGCGTAATGTCAGTTCATGCATTGTATTAATGATAATTTTGTCCTTTTTAGCAAGTAATATTACACCATATTTTCGATATGATTGTAGTGCATCCACTTTGACGTGATATCAAAATTATTTTTTTGCTGTGCTGAAAGTCTCCTTAATAAAGATAACTAACTTTGCATGTATCGGAGCTTATGATTCAGTGCAGATACATATTGCCACTATATATGCACCATTCTGTCAGACTCACCACTATCAAAATGTTCGATAAAAACCACTATGGAAGCCTCCGGTAAATCCTCTGTCACAGTTCAGCTTCCTGATTATCGTAAAGCAGGAAATCATCCTGACTCTGTGTCCAGAGATGGAAAATGGAGCTTTCAGCTTGTGTATCAATTATAATTTCTGATGGACATTCACCTTCTAGAATTGTTATCGCTGATCATCTTCTCAGTACCAGAAACGTAGTCTGTCTTGCAGTGAGGCGTGATGCCAAATACTCTATTCTGGATAGCCATCGTTGAAGTCATTGTGAGCTAGCCATGCGCAGCGACATTTTTATCACAATTGATGTACAAATATCCCATCATATCCAGCGGCATTTAGAGTTATTGAATTAAATGCCTTTTTTTTTAATAAAATTTCCCATTGTGTGGTGGAATGGACACACCGGAGGGGTAGAAACATCGGTATGGCGGCAGCACGGGTGGAACTGGAGCTCCGGTAGGATAGGAGCACCACTGAGGTTGGCCTGCCAGTTTGGTTGGAGTGGTATTTATTCCGCCTGGCTCCCATGCCCCTTTCTTGGAACCAGGCTTGCTGAAACTCCTCAAACTCACTGGAGGTTTTACAACACTCTTGTCCTGCAAGTTTAGCCAGCTCTCACCTCGAGTGAGTGGTAGCAGGAATATGGAAGAAGTAAACAAAAACTCCTCGAGAGAGAGAGGATGATTTGACGTGAGGTGCGCTTTTCGAGACTCCGGATGACTTTTTTGTTCGACGCAAAAAGCTCAGAGTTCACCCAGAGTGAGAGTAAGAGCGTGCGTTAGAAAACATGAACATGAATGGCAGCAAACCTCACTCTCATTTTATCCTCCTTCGCTCACAAGCTCTAAAGCTTGCGGAATGATTTGGTAGTAGGCATTCTACTCCTCAGAAAAATGCAACGCTCGGCACATTTCAAACTCGCGAGCGAGGCTCCATCAAGTCTGCTTGGAACCACCAGTGCTAATGACTTAACGTACTTCGGCCTAACGTACTTTGGCCTAATATACTTCGGCCCAATGTACTTCGGCCTAATTCGACCCAGCACCAGTAAATTCAAATATTTTGATTCACGGAATTATTGTTGAATACAACAGTGCCGTCTAGCGGCGCCGGTGGTGTAGTGGTAAGCGTGATTACCTCTCACCCCAGAAGGCCTGGGTTCAATCCCATTCGGCGCCGCCGGGATGTTCTGAGACATAACATCTCTGATCACGCCGGAAGTAAAGCCGTTGGTCCCCGGTTCATGAGTTGATGGGTCGATAGGTAGGGTCCAGGTGTGGGAGCTGCCTTCCTGGCTTCGGTAGCATTGGTGCTCAGCACGGAAAACAAGATCGACCAAAGGAAAAAAAATACAGTTCCGTAAGTGGGGGTGACATTGGTCCAAAAAATAAAAATATGTCGTGCCCTACCTTACAACATTCCCATTTAGCAAAGACAACAATTTTAAGCATGTGATATATTGTTACAACGATATATTTACGACTGTCATGGAAATCGTTGACTGAAATTGATGTTTCATTTTCTGAAATCAAATAAAAAATAGACCAATGTAAAACTTTGTGGAGGGTGACAGTGGTTGATAACAAAAATATGGTTAAAATATATTAAACTATGCAAATGTAACGTAGCTAGAAAGATTTGGTTATGATCGTAATGTACTTCGTATTTATGGCTGAATATAGCGAGTCACCCTCGTATATCCACATGAAAGTGTTTTCAAACTTTTGTTTGCATGTGGTTATTTTTTAAGACGTGTTTTTGATTCTTTTCATGACACTTAATTTTACAGAACTATTTAAATAAAGCAACTGGTTAATGTTATCTACACTTTACGTGAAGAGTTCAATGAACACAATCTAGTCATATTTTTTTGTATATTCCAGATATTTTCATCAATAATATTTTTTTCAATTTTGGCCTAATGTCACCTCGTCTTGCCTGTATCTATAATTATGGAGACGATTTGCCTAAATGACATGCAAATTACTGACATTCTAATCAAATATATGCTAACAAAATAGGCCATGACACTTGTTTTTTTTCTAATGTCGTTTTCGTTTTTACTACACTACACCGGTGTAGTGTAAGCAGCAATAAGTGCGAGTCATTGACAGTTCATCATCATTTGTTTGTAAACAAAGGTGCAACCGATAGCTACACCCTAAATTTTTTCGGTGTTCGGCAGTGTAGCACCGGTGTAGCTACACCGCAAAAACGAAAACGACATAACTGTCTAGTTAAAACATGTGTGAGGAAGACATAAACTGCATAAGCTCAGTGGACTGTTTCCCTACATTCCTAATTTCTCTACATGTTTTATTGTGTACATTGTGTACATCACTCAGCATCCTCTTCCGAGCCAACAGATGAACCGAATCATACACTAGCCCCCAAGCATGTCCATTTCATTAATGTTTTTCCCATTTTCCAATCTCCTACTTTCCAGGCTACGCAAACCAGAAGAAAATTGTGTCTTTCCACCAGTAGCCCAACAACTTCGACTTAGTAGCCACGGGTTCGCTCTAAATAAGGTACATCGCCACCACCCAAGCCCAGACGGCGACGATGACGACAGCGGGCTGCGGCAAAGCATGTTGGACTCAAAGCAAATAGTTTCAAGGTGGCAATAAACACTATCCGCGTGGAAGAGCCAGAGTAGTTATTGGAAAAAATAAAAGCAGAGCGATGGTTGTAAAACAAAATTATGTTTGTCGGGTGAGGAAACATCTGCTAGCATAAGCGCGTAAGTGAAAATAAAGCAATGAAATAAGTGAACACTTCGCGATCTGGACTGTGGCGGGAAAATGCGACCCTTTCAAACGGTTGGATTGGGTGGCTGAAAGCTGATATGAGCTTGGTGATTAATGGAATACCGACCGAAGGCAAGTTCTCACACTAACCACTGAACTAAGCTAAGAGCGGAGAGAACTCCGGTATCAAGATGAAGCTGCCTAAGGTGGACCTATCTACAAAGTGAATGACAGTGGGAGCGCGATGTTCGGCTGAATAGAGGAAAAAAGCAGTAGAAAATAGTTGGTTGTGTGCCCTGGAGCAATCCGAAAAAAAAACCACCGTGTTGTGATCGCGTGTGTGCACTTGGTGAAAAATCGTCGGTGCGTGTGAGTGTTGGTTATAGTGTATGTTTCCGCGAGGGAACTGGGCTGGAAAGCGCTACAAAGCATCCAAATCGAACGATCCGCAGAGAAGCGTGAATCCGAGCATCCAAACCGGGCGAAAAGGGTTTTACAATTTCTATGTGAAAACTGTGCAACGACGACGAGCAGAGTCAGTGTCTCACGGTTTCAGCGCCTGGAAGAGCAGCGCAGCAGTCGAGGAAGTATCGCCGGGCGGATAAATAGTTTATAAATAAATGAGATAAAAATGCCTTCCGGATATCGACCGAATGGGATCATTCATCCCGCTAATGGCCATATAAGTGAGTATCATTTATTGCGCTTCATAGCTTCTTTCTTTGAATTGTGGGTTTACTGTACAGTGCAGTTTGTTGTTGTTTGGTTTTTTTTTTTATTGTGGGCTATGGATTATGCTACTTTGTGAGGGAAGATGAGACAGATGATTGGAATTTTCTCCGAAAATTTATAATCACAGTTTTTTGGCGAGTAGACAAACAGAACCCCAACGATATTAGCACTCGGATGATCGGATGCTCGCTGAAACCTGTTTTTCAATTCTAAGTTCAAATTCACATGGGCGTCGGAAGAGCGTTGGTTACAAGGGACTGTTTTATGATGTTTTGTGGTGAAGAACTAGCCCAGAAGTGCCTTATGAAGTATTTAAAAAAAATGTGATGTTGCACTGGATTGGAAAATTAGACATTATTTTAACTAGATTTTAACTATCTGTAATTAGAAGAGTCTTTACAAATCGATTTATTTTTAAATGCTATATCAGTGACCGTTTCATGTTGGCAAGCTGGTCGATTTATCTTTAAGATAATTTAGTATACCATCTTAACCAGATTGGCAAACATAGACGTATTTGTTATAGTTACAGATATAAATTCCCTCTATAATTTTCCGTTGCTTCACAGCGATATAAATGTGAAATAGCTTGGGCATCCACCTCTTTGTCCACCTCTAATATTCACAAGTATTCCCACTCTAGTAGCATGCTTGTCACAAAGCAATTGTAGAAACTTATATACGACTTATTTCAGTCATAAACAAGTTGCTGTAACTTATTGTGATGAAAATGTGCTACTCGGGTAATGATCATAGTTCATGAATAATCAACAAAGCATCCTTATTCACTAGCTACTCTGTATTATGATGCTATCTTAAATTTTAGCAGTGCCAGGATTTTTCAGGAACCCCCAATATTCTGCCAGAAAGCTTTTTTTCATGAAATTTAAAATTCAGTCCTTTATATCCTTAATATCCGTAATACGTGCGCGAGGTTCAAATCATTGTGGACAACTCAAAATTACCCTTTTATTAAGTACTATTATAAAATAAAATATATCAAAAATCTTTCATCACCATCGTGACGACCAAAACGGTTTTTGCTGTGCTATAATAATTATTAAAAGTCGTTAAGTCATACCAAATAATTCGTTAGAGATAACTTCATCAAGATACATAATTTGGGGGTGACCCCGGCGTAGTGGTTAGCATCCATACCTCTCACGCCAAAGTCACGTGTTCAAATCTCACTCCCGGACAAGTCACGAATGACCCAAGAGCGTTAAAATGACTATAATAATAATAAAAAATATATACATAATTTGTCAATAATAATAATAATAAAAAAAAAGATACATAAATTGTCAATAATTAAAAAAAAAGGTACATAATTTGTCAATAATTAAAAAAATACCTAATTATCTGCTCAAAACAAAAAACAGTTTTAACATGCAATGTCTTTTGATTTATGAAAGTGTTGTTCTCAACTTGATGTGGCTAGGTAGCGAATTAAAAACATGTATACCTTTGGAAAACAATGAATTTTGTCAATCACAGGACAAGAAATGTGGTGTCCTAATTTCATTCGCGTTTCTTGTATTGTATTGTAAATGTTCAGTGTTAAGGCTGTGCCAACAGCTAAGTTGGCTTATCTAGGGACTAACCCCCTAGTCTATACACCTACTGTCCTTCCCGTTGCACTCGTCAGCTCGTGCGATACTCTAGACACACATGGGTGGTCGTATCCGGGTCCTCCCCTGGGTAGGCTCGTGTCCGTCCAGGTTCTGGTGCATTAACTTATATCTATGCATGCACAGCAAAAAAATAATTTTGATATCACATCAAAGTGGATGCACTACAATCATGTCGAAAATTTCATGTAATTTTTATGACCACATAAATAAACAAATGCAGTAAAAGCAGCGTAATGTCAGTTCATGCATTGTATTAATGATAATTTTGTCCTTTTTAGCAAGTAATATTACACCATATTTTCGACATGATTGTAGTGCATCCACTTTGAAGTGATAACAAAATTATTTTTTTGCTGTGTGGTAATTATACTTTGCAACTCACCTTTTGGTTATAAATGTCGATAATGCTGAAACTATATGAATGTTAGTGATCATTATTAGGTGTGTGCTGCAATGGAGTAGTAATTGAAGGAAATGAGGTTCTCATGTGATAACACACCTTTTACAATTCTCATCCTACTTACCAGTTCCGTCCAGTATAAATTGGCTGTTTCCAAATGGCCTAATCCTTTCTGACTGCTTACTCTCTTACGTTTTCTCGCTTTTTCATTCTTCCTATTGAAAATCTGGCCGTGTTCCCATTTGTTCTCATGTACACACTTAGAAATACCTAATTTTACACGTGACGGAATCCATCTTTGACATAAAGGATGAGACGTAAACAAACATGTCATGTAAAATTAAGTGCTCCGAGACTGAAAAGTTCGGTACTCGACGAAAAGTACGTTTGATTGAGCTGAGTTTTGCGTCTATTACGACTCTATTTTATGTCAAAAATGACGCTCGTATATGGCAGTCTCAGAGCACCTAAATTTACATGAATTTTTTTAAGTGTGTAGGTAATATTGGTACATGAGGGGAAGAAAGAAATAGAACAAGCTAAGTGTGAGTTGCATGCGTTGGTTAGTCGTTTGGGTCATGGTGTTGTGTTCCCTATTTTATTTGCCTCTATTCAGCTCTCAGATCACCCCCTCCCCCCAAACTATTGCGGATGAGAAAAAGAACCCACATTTGGTAACCTCTCACGAGCTGCAATGCATAATATATGAATAACAAACAAATCTAGAACGGGGCTTAAACATATAACATTTTCTAAGACTGAACATGATTAGTATAGTATGAATAATGAGAATTGTATGAAGAAAAGACGATCCCAAAAGAAAGTTCCCTAGCAATAAAACTATTACTCTGTGCTAATATGAGTTATTTCAAAATGGGCATCCATACTCAGAAACTATACCCGACCTCAACAAACTGAACCGAAATCAGAACAGCTAAACTATTTGGTAAGATTTTGGCATTTCTATTTAATTGTATTAAGCTATCTCACAGAGACCAGATGTCCAAGTTCGGTCAGAAACGTGTGTAAAGTTAAGTGGAAACGTTGCCGTTACGTAGCGCTAGCATCTCCTGATTTTCTCTATACATTAATCACCTTCGACCAATTTGGCGCTAGTACCGATAAATTACCTGCTGAAAATTGCCACTTGGCGCTACCAGCACTTAGTGTCTAGTGTAAGTTTTGCAACGCCAGCGCCATCATGTTGTCAAAGAGGGGTTTTAAGTGGGGAAGTCGCCGTTAGTGGCACTTAAGTCGAATAGGAATCTTTACACAAGTTTTTAGAGAAATTTTGGAGCCTCAACGTCTGTTTTCTGGGGCTATCTTATATCGAGCTCTTTTCAATAATTGCAACATGTGAAAAATGCAGAACAAGATTAAAATTGTTCTAGTGTCAAATTGGTTTTGAAGGAAGGTCAAACTACAAACGAACAGCTCAGCCGCTTTGAACCCTATGAAAATTATGCTTTCCCAATATGGTACATTCTCTCACTATAAACCTATCATTTCTAGCCTATCTGAACTATTTAATAAATGGAAACCATAACATGGGTTACGCTCCTCCTAAGCGGGCCCTCCGCATCCTATCTCTGTCTTATCTCAAATGCCAATGGTTTGAATGTATCAATATATACATTGGAAATGACGTTCAATCAAATAAACCCATACCCCACTCACTTGGCCAGGCTTCAGAATCGTCCAGTGGGCAGTGCGCTCTACACTCCAAGTACCCTTTCTTTCAAATTTACCCCAAATTTTATATTTTACCCCTCTGAGTGTTGATTAATCACAATGAAACATTGTGACAGAGCACGGACTTGAGGTTACTAGAGTATTAAATAATCTAGGTCATATTTAGGATTATATCTAAAAATCCAAATTTGGCCAACGCCCACCATTCGCGTTTCTAGTATTATATCTATGAAATTCACTTCCTCAAAAGTCTTGATGAGAAGAGATTGATTTGATTTTTTGTCAAGATGCTTAAAGTCTGTATATCAGTTGCTCTGCTATTTCGCCCATTTAAATAAACCGTAAAATACAGGTATAAGTCGTTAAAGTCGTTATACCGTTCTGCTAGTTCAGCGTCTAGTAAATGTGAGCTATTTGCCGATCACTTCAATTGAGGCTAGCAAGAACTACATATCCTGTTCTCAGCGTGGATTCTTCCGAAACGATCCGTCACTACAAATCTCCAACAGTTTACTTCACTCTGCATACGCTCGATGGACGCTGGTACGCAAGTAGATGCCGTGTACACAGATTTCAAAGCTGCATTCGACCGAGTGAACCATGATATCCTACTTGGAAAACTTGAGAAACTTGGACTATCCTCCGACCTAGTAAACTGGTTTAGATCGTACCTCACGGAAGGTCTGTGAAAGGTCATTCATTCCGGTGTACCGCAAGGAAGTAATCTAGACCCGCTTCTCTTCTCGTTATTCATAAATGATGTTTCATTTGTTCTGCCACGCGGACAGCGAATATTATATGCAGATGACGTTAAGATGTTTATGGTAAACACTTGTATTGAAGTCTGCTTTGAGCTGCAACGGCTATTGGATTTGTTTGAGGACTGGAGCAAGCGTAATCATCTTGATTTGTGTATAGCCAAATGCAACACGATCTCATTTAGTAGAAAGCGTCAACCGTTATATTTCAACTACAAGCTATCTGGGCAAACTCTCGAACGCATGGATCAGGTGAGGGATCTTGGTGTGATATTGGACCGTGAACTCACTTTCCGACCGCATTGCGAAGATGTGTTAGCAAAAACTAACAAGCAGCTCGGGTTTATATTTAAGCTTGCTGATGGTTTTCGCGATCCTCTCTGCCTGAAGTCCCTCTACTGTGCCCTCGTACGCTCTATTTTGGAATCTGCCGCAGTAGTATGGTGTCCATACAATAGAAACTGGATCGA